TGCTAGACATCTAAGGTCATATAGCACTATAGGAAGGTATAGTAAAGGGTGATGTCAGGTCATAGTTGCTATGCGTCAACTGTCTAGAGTAATGTTGAAGGGTAAGTAATGTTGAAAGGTAAGTAATGTTGAAAGGTATAAGGAATGTTGAAAGGTAAGTAATGTTGAAAGGCAAGTAATGTTGAAAGGCAAGTAATGTTGAAAGGTAAAAGTAATGTTGAATGGTAAAAGTAATGTTGAATGGTAAGTAATGTTGAAAGGTAAGTAGTTGAAAGGTAAGTAATGTTGAAAGGTAAGTAATGTTGAAAGGTAAGTAATGTTAATAAGTAATGTGAAAGGTAGTAATGTTGAAAGTATGTTGAAAGGTAAGTAATGTTGAAAGGTATAAGTAATGTTGAAAGGTATAAGTAATGTTGAAAGGTAAGTCATGTTGACCGGTAAGTCATGTTGAACGGTAAGTCATGTTGAACGGTAAGTAATGTCGAAAGGTAAGTAATGTCGAAAGGTAAGTAATGTCGAAAGGTAAGTAATGTTGAAAGGTAAGTAATGTTAAAAGGTAAGTAATGTTGAAAGGTAAGTAATGTTAAGTAATGTTGAAAGGTAAGTAATGTTGAAGGGTAAGTAATGTTGAAGGGTAAGTAATGTTGAAGGGTAAGTAATGTTGAAGGGTAAGTAATGTTGAAAGGTGAGTAATGTTGAAAGGTAAGTAATGTTAATGTTGAAGGGTAATGTGGTAAGTAATGTTTGAGTAAGGTTGAAAGGTAATGTTGACAGGTAAGTAATGTTGGTAAGTAATGTTGACCAAGTAATGTTGAAAGGTAAGTAATGTTAAGTAATGTTGGTAAGTAATGTTAACGTAATGTTGAAAGGTAAGTAATGTTGAAAGGTAAGTAATGTTGAAAGGTAAGTAATGTTGAAAGATAAGTAATGTTGAAAGGTAAGTAATGTTGAAAGTAAGTAATATTGACCAGAAAATAAATCTGCTAGACATCAAAGGTCATATAACACTATGGTATCGTATTGTGTTGGTTTTTTAAAGTTCTTTATTAGAGGTAAAATGTCAAATTTCGACAGTCATTTGTTGTATGACAGTATAGTATTTAAAACAGTAGGATGAGAAGGTAGATGGGGATAGGATAGACATTAACAAAAAGAGGAAGAGCTAAAGACAACGAATTAGACCAAATGAAGGATTGGAAAGGATGACGACGGGTAAGTGGTCGCCGCACGAGGGATACGACCGCAAAACTTGTCAAACTGAGGTACTCTCGCTTAGTCTCGCACCCTTTTGGAGTGTGTGGTTCATTGAGTGCATGCGTCCGGATTTGTGTTGGGTTCGTTGGAAGATGTTTTGTGCGGGGATGTATGCAGGGTATGTAGGCTATCGGGGACTTTGTATTTTCATATATAAATATCTTGACATATACATATATTTGTAAATATACTTATATACATATAAATGTATATGTATATGTGTGTGCATATATGTATGTGTATATACATACATATATATATAAACATACATACAAATGTGTGTGTGTGTGTGTGTATGTGTATGTGTATGTGTATGTGTATGTGTATGTGCATGTGTATGTGTGTGTGTGTGTATGTGTATGTGTATGTGCATGTGTATGTGTATATGTATATATATATACACGTAAGTATATACACGTATGTATGTATATATACACGTATTCACATATACGTATGTATATGTATATATACATATGAATATATACATATGTATATATAAATACATATGTATATATGTATATATAAAATGCATATATGGATATATAATGTGTATACATATAGCCAGTTATTTTTATGTATGAATATATGTATATGTATATGTATGAATATATGTGTATGTATATGTATATGCGTATATGTATGTATATGTATGTGTATGTATATGCGTATATGTATATGTGTATGTATATGCGTATATGTGTGTATGTATATGCGTATATGTGTGTATATATGCGTATGTGTGTATGTATATGCGTATATGTGTGTATGTATATGCGTATATGTGTGTATGTATATGCGTATATGTGTGTATGTATATGCGTTATATGTGTGTATGTATATGCGTATATGTGTGTATGTATATGCGTATATGTGTGTAAGTATATGCGTATATGTGTGTATGTATGCTATGTGTGCGTATATGTGTGTAAGTATATGCGTATGTGTATGTATGCGTACATGTATGTATGTATGTGTACATGTATGTATGTGTACATGTATGTATGTGTACATGTATGTATGTGTACATGAATGTATGTGTACATGAATGTATGTGTATATGTATGCATCAGTAAGTGCATGTTTGTCTACATATGTGTCTATATGAGTATGCATACATATACATATACATACGTTTGTTGAAATAACTTGTAGCGAATAAATGATCTTCCAGGTTCGTTCAGGAGAGCGAACACCGGAACGACCCCGACTTAGGAGAATCGTTTTCTCAGCGATTTCCGAACGCATCTGGGACCGAGGCTGCGTTCGCTCAAGCCTCGTTTCCAGCTGCTTTCATCTCCTCTCATCAGCGGGTATTATTATTAATGCTGCGATTCGAAAAAAAAACCCCCGCTGGTTTACATGCTGCATAATTCCATGCTGAGGCGATCGACTTTAGCGAGTCAAGACGGAATGGAGTCCAGGTCTCTTATCGAAGGCACTCCAGGTTTTCTTTGATTAATATTCTGTATGTTTGTTGCGGGATCTGTGGGCTTCATGTATATTCCGGAGTAATCAATTTTGTAACCATTTATGCATCACTGTTTGGAGGATCTCATCTTCATATATATATTACTGAGCGAGTATTTTTTTTTTTTTTTTTTTTTTTTTTTTACCGTATAGGCATTACTGTTACTAGTCTTGCCTATTACCTTTTAGAGTGTTTATATCGTACGTTTTCGTTTCCAGATCGGGTCAGAACATTCAAATTAACTTGCTTGATATACCCTCTTCCACAAAAGGTTTCAACACATCTGTTCTTCCACGGATTCGAACCCAGAAGCTCTCGACAAACAAACATCTTTGGACGGAGAGAAGACGCTGCCAATTTGGGTCATATTCAATTAGTTGTTTATGCTTCTCAAGTAGTTTCCCGCAGCAGAAAACGTGGCGCTGTTCTGTACTTAGTCTTTCGGGTATATGAATGAGGGTGTCTAAGGATATATTTCTGAGGAAATAGTTCATTGAAAATGTGTTGAAGATCGATGGTGGTCCATACACTACAATAAGGGTAAAATCGTGCAAAGCAAACACCATATACTAACTAAAAAAAAATCATCCTTTTACACATTTTTTAGCATACTTATATTATGTATTAATTGAACATTTCCTGCCCCGTCAATAGCTGAAGTCAATAGCGTCGTTTCCATAACATAGCAACAGGCGAGGATTGGAGTCCATACTAATAGCACATGAGAATACATCAGGTGAGCCCGTCCCATCCTACAACGCTGATTATTGATTCACTGACTGATTATCTGCCGCGTCAACAGCTCAGATCATTAGCAGCCGGAACAGAAAATAATTTAATGAGGTGCTTAAAACGTAAATATGCTTTTCAATCTCTGTGAATACACTTCCTACACAGAGAATATTACGTTGCATGATCATTGATTTGTCACAAACTTATGCGCATTTCATATTTCATTTTGTTTTCATTATTGCGTTGAAATACAGCTCAACACTTCCACTTTTAGTTAATCACATTCATTTCCCTGAATGTTTACCGCTTAATTTGAAAAATGAATTTCCTTTTACTATTCTTTATCAATATTTTTCTCTTTTTGAATGTTACCCGATCCCTGAGTTTACATATCTGAGTAAGCATGAAACGAAACACGTATTATCGAGTGCTTCAAGTATGACATGTAGTTTCCAATACATTTGCGCAATCAACTAAACCATTGCATTGTTCCGACTATTGCACCGATTGTTCATGGGAAATAGCTGAACAGTCTCGTGGCTTGTTTGGAGTGTACATACAAAAGGTTCATTTAGGCTGGATGCCCGCTCGTTTTGAGAGGGCGAAAGAGAAAGAGAAAGAGAGGAGCAAACTACATTACATTTTGATTTATTACTTTTTCAGCTACGTCGAGGCAGAGAGGGAGAGGAAGGGAGGGGTGGAAAGTGGGGCAGAGCAAGATGGAAAGAGAATTGAAGAAAGGTGGAAAGAGAAAAGGAGAGAGAAGAAGAGGTGGAAAGCGGGGGAGAGAGAGATGGAAAGATGGAAAGAGAGGTAAAGAGAGATGGAAAACAGGACAGAGAAAGGTGGACAAAGATGGAAAGAGGCAAAGAAGTGGGAAGAAGGGTAGGGAGCAGTGGAATGGGATGAAAGAGAGAGATGAACAAAGGGATAGAAAGAGGGAGAACTGCCATATACTCTGATGCTCTGTCACTCGAGTTACTCATAGAATCTGGTTACATTAGCCATCGTTTCCTGTGAGGTAACATAAGCTACTTTTATCAATGAGGAAATTTCAAACTACTTTCTTAATATTACCCGTAGTTACACGTACCAATGTGAAAACTCCTACGATTTTACAGGAAGGAACTAGACCTGACATACACTAGTTCATTATTCTAGGAAAATTCACTGGTAGATAATGGCTAATGGTTAAAAACAAATGTGCTATACATCAAAGATCATATGGCAATATCGTAAAGTATTGTAGCGAAAAGGGTAAACATTAGTTAACAAATAAGATAAAATGTGTTAGACGTCAAAGGTTATTTAGCGTTATAGGACAGTATGGTTGTGAAAAGGGCGAAGCGGGAGAGCAAATGAAGTAAAGCGGATTACTGATAGATAGTCAATCAAATAGCTTCATGAAATATATTACTTACCCGTTTATCAAACATCCAATCCAACATACCAGAATTGAGAAAGTCGGATTGGAATGTTCATTAAATACATTCTTATAACCAACACACATACCGATAAAAAGGTTTACATGGAAATACCAAACACACAATTATGAAGACTTATTTACTGAAATTACAGTACCTGATTACAGCAAATTTCTAATTTCCCTTCAACTAATAATGCATTGTTGGTATGTCTTCCAAATTCACTTAATCTAGCTTTTTAATGTAATACACTTAAAAACAATTCTGATCTCAAGAAAACAAAAAAAAAAACCGCTACTGAACTTCCAAAAACAGTGCACGCGCATTCTCTAAATAGTGAAAGCAGTGGAAAAAAAAAAATCATGTAACTATATATGTTTTGCTGGATATTCATGTAAATACCAATCTGGAGTTGAAATTAATAAACTTCTGGAGGTATTCCACTTTCTTCTTTTTTGACGGAAAGAGGAAAGGAAAACTCAAAAGTGTATGAAGGGAATAAAGAATCAAATCTGGGAAGAGGTATCCACTGGGACTGACTAACAACTAAGAACCATTCATATGTACGTGTTATATACTAATTGCATTGTGTTGTTCTGAAAAAATATATAGATATGTACAGATGACTGAACCTAAAGACACTGCACCTTAGAAGCTTCAGATACTTCAGCTAAAAAAAAAAAGCTCCTGAAACTTTGGCGCAGATACTAGGGTGTCACGCAAAAAAAGTATCTCTAAAATCGCTAAAAAAAAACCTTTTTTAGTCAAACAGGCCGGATTTCACTTCTTGTAACTCCGCCTCATGGTCGTTCAGAAGGCAAAAACCACAGTGGCTCGTGTGCTCGAAATAAAAACGAAGAAGAAATCGTACAGGTTCGAGGTTTCAGTGCAACGAAGGTGTAGAAGGATAGGAGTTGATAGCTGGCAACATAGCACCTTGTTTTTTCGTTTTGTCATTTCTTTCCTAGACCTTGGGAAATACAGCAAGATTCGCCGGGGTGAGCAGGACCTTACCCCAAGAAAAAAGAAGGAACAAGAGAAAGAAAATGGAAGAAAGTTCGGATTTCTACTTCTTTCAGTCGAAGAACCCAATTAGGACCCATTCAATCATCGTACCCCCCCCCCCCCGGGCGAATATCTCCTCGCAGCCTCGTTCGGCGCTGAAAACCACTGTCGTCGCCACCGCCGCCGCCGTCGCCGTCGCCATCGGCCGCTTTCGCACGTCTTCCTCCTCCTCCTCTAGACCCTCTTGTCGGCCACGATCTGGCGGGCGATGAGCTCCTTCATGATCTCGTTGGAGCCGCCGTAGATGGTCTGCACCTTGGCGTCGACGTAGGACTTGGCGATCGGGTACTCCCACATGTAGCCCCAGCCGCCGTGGAGCTGCACGCACTGGTAGCCGACGCGGTTCTGCAGATCGGACATCCTGCGGAGGGACAACGGGGAGTGAGAGGGACTCGGGGCTCTGTACGGGCCGTTCTAAGAAGATACACAAAACAGAAGAAGGGGGGGGGGCAAGAATCTCCAAGACCCGACTCGCTTCACCAGATCAAATTCCGATCGCCGCGACAGATGCTGGTCCAGTTCGCGAGTCAGATCTCAGAAGAAGCTTCCTTAAAGGACAAATTCCGCTTTTGATTCTCCCCGTTTCCCACTCGACTTGGGACACGGACGGGAATCTGGAAGCCACGCACAGCACCCGATCAAACACTTGCACTCGTAAACTCACAGATACTCAATACCAGTACTTCAGCATCGGTTAAATCAGTAACACCATAACACAACACCCACTGAAGGAACAACGGACTGCGCTGATCAACATCTATGGCACTACAACGCACAATACTGGGTTACCTTCGACAGATGGCAAAGCGCAGAGACTCACTAAGCCATCCTTCATCATCATAAAATATTCCAGCCCATTTTCTATGAGCACAGCTATCCAGCAATCTACCTGTATAAACCTTACTTCCATCACCCTCAACCGCACGAAAAACAAACGAAAGGAAAAATATATCTATAATATCTACCTACTATAATATATATAATGAGAAAGAGAAAGAGAAAGAGAAAGAGAGAGAGGAAAAAAAAAGCGAAAACTCTACCTTCCCAACATCCCCCAAATGACCAACAACGCATCGCCAAACCACCGTCCCTTAAAAAAAAAAACACCAACCTTCTTCAACCCCTCACAGGAAAAAAATTATACGTCCGTAATCCTCCAATCTCATCAGCATCCCCCCCCCCCCCCCTTCACCCCAAAAGAAAAAAAAATCCGATACGCGATTCCGTCCCCAGAATCTGCAAGTCAGAGCAAGGCGGGAAGGAACAATGACCCTTCGCGGCAAAGATGCTCGGAATCGCTCGGCGTCGTTTTCTATGCGAGGGACGGCAACCAGGGGGGACTATCTCATACCAACGCCACGCGCGGATGGGTGGGTGAGGGTGAAGGAGAGGGAAGGAGGGAGAGATAAAGAAAAGAAAGAGAGAGAGATAGCGAGGAGATAGAATTAGAAGAAAGAATCAAAGAAAGAAAGAAGAAAGAGAGAAAGAGAAAGAAAGAAAGAAAGAAAAAAAAGAAAGAAAAAAGAAAGAAAAAGAAAGAAAAAGAAAAAAAAAAAGAAAGAAAAAAGAAAAAGAAAAAGAAAGAAAGAAAGAAAGAAAGAAAGAAAAAGAAAAAAGAAAAAAGAAAGAAAGAAAAAGAAAGAAAAAGAGAAAGAGAGAAGAGAGAGAGAGAGAGGTCTCACTACCTAATCCAATATTTACACCCTGGACCCGAATGCCCAGCGGCGACTCCATACCCATCTCGAGTCACGTCCGATGCCACAACACGGCGTGAATGCTAGCGTGCTCGACCACGTGTCTCCCTCCCTCCCTTCTCATGATTTTCCCTATCTTTATCAAACTTCCTGTTGAACTGCGAGTCAACAATTTAATCTGAGTAACGTTTGTCCTTTCTGGGCGGTTTGGCTCGCTCAAATTTACTCTAATCTCTCGCTCTTTGGCAATCTCCTTCGCCAACACGAGGTCACACAAACCTCTCTCATAAACGCGAGCCTAAAACGAGAATGAGAGAAAATAAGAGAGAAAGAAAAAAACAAAAAAACGGGAAACGAAGAATGAGAAAAATCTGGTCTCGAACGTAGAGAGAAAGAGAGAGAGAGAGAGAGAGAGAGAGAAGAGAGAGAGAGAGAGAGAAGAGAGAGAGAGAGAGAGAGAGAGAGAGAGAGAGAGAGAGAGAGAGAGAGAGAGAGAGAGAGAGAGAGAGAGAGAGAGAGAGAGAGGAATAGAAAGAGAAGAGAGAGGGAGAGAGAGAGAAGAGAACGTGGCTTGAATCTTGACGCGAACGAAAAATTCGAGTCGCCTCTCGTAAAAAAAAAAAAAAAAAAAAAAATCCGTTATTTACGCCGACCGGAAAGGGTGAAAGGCCTCCCTACTTTAAATCCCGCGCCCGCTTCACATTTCTTAACCCCCCCCCCCCCCCCCCCCACCCCCCACACAGAAGCCAACCGTTCCATCCTCGCGTACTTTTCCACTGCCTGACCCACTCCATAAACGACATTTTATCTTCCCGATTCGTCACCCACCTCCTCATTTACTTTTTTTAAAACCTGACGTCCATCAACGCCGCGCCGATCACCCAACAACCCTCCCGATAACGATTACTTCTATCCTAGCTATATCTATCTATCAAAAATAAATAAATAAATAAATAAACGTAAAAATTCCACTCGAACGCTCTCGGTCTCTCCTGCATGGCGCGCTCAGCACCAGCGCAGGGCGGCGAGTCGTGCCTGCGCATACTAACAGCCGCCGGTCCTCGGCCACACGAATGTCGCCACTCAACGTTTAATGAACGAGGTAGAGAGTAGCGAAAGGAGGAGGAGAGGAGAGGAGAGGAGGAGGGGAGGAGGAGGAGGAGGAGGAGGAGGAGGAGGAGGAGGAGGAGGAGGAGGAGGAGAGGAGGAGGAGAGGAGGAGGAGGAGGAGGAGGAGGAGGAGGAGGAGGAGGAGGAGGAGGAGGAGGAGGAGGGAGAGAGGAGGGAGAGAAGAAAAGAGAAGGGGGGTGGAGAGGAGAGAGGATAATGGAGGAGAGAAGAGGATAATGGAGGAGAGGAGAGGGAATGGATAAGAGTAGAGTAGAGGAGAATGGAGGAGAGGAGAGAGGATAATGGAGGAGAGGAGAGGAGAGGAGAGGGGAATGGAGAAGAGGAGAGGAGAGGGGAATGTAGGAAAGGAGAGAGGAGAGGAGAGAGTAGAGGGGAATGGAGGAGAGAAGAGAGGAGAAGAGAGAGGATAATGGAGAAGAGGAGAGGAGAGTACGGGGATGGAGGAGAGGAGAGGAGAGAGGAGGAGAGAGGGAAATGGAGAAGAGGAGGAGGGGAATGGAGAGGAGGAGAGAGGGAGTGAGGAGAGGAGGAGAGAGGGGAATGGAAGAGTGGAGAGAGGGGAATGGAAGAGTGGAGAGAGGAGAATGGAAGAGTGGAGAGGCGAAGAGAGGAAAGGAGGGAAGGGAGGATAGGAAAGGAGCAGAGAAGGGAGGAGAGGAAAGGATAGGAGAAGGGAGAAGAAAGGAGAGGGGAAGGGATGAGAAACAGGAGAAGGGAGAAGAAGGAGAGGGGAGGAGAGGGAGAGAAGAGAAAAGAAAAGAGAATGGGGAGAGATAAGACAATAAAAAGGAGAGAAGAGAGGGAGAAAGAAAAATATGGGAAGAGGGAGGGGTAGCGGAGGGCAAGAGAAAGAGAAAAGATTGGGGGAGAACAGAGAGAAAAAAGAAGAGACAGGAGAAGCAAGGAGAGAGAGAAGGGAGAATTGTGGGGAAGAAGGAAGGTAGGAGAATTGAGGGGAAAGAGTGGTACATGGGAGAATTGAGGGGAAAGAAGATGGGGAGAATTGAGGGGAAAGAGTGGAGATGGGAGAATTGAGGGGAGTGGTAGATGGGAGAATTGACGGGAAAGAGTGGGAGATGGGAGAATTGACGGGAAAGAGTGGGAGATGGGAGAATTGACGGGAAAGAGTGGGAGATGGGAGAATTGAGGGGAAAGAGGGGAGCGGGAAGTGAGGGGATAGAGGGAAGATGGGAAAAGCAGGGAGAAGGGCGATAAAAGGTAAGGAGAGGAATGATGGGAGATTAAAAAATGGGAGAGAGGGAAGATGGGGGAAGGGAAAGAGAAAGACGAGAGAAGAGATGAAGAGGAAGACAAAGGAGGAGATGAGAGAAGAGAGAGCTGTTCAGAGAGCGAGCAGAGGAGAGGAGAGAATACAAAAGAGAGAAAAGGGGAGGAGATAGAAAACAAAGGAGGAGAGAGAAGGAGGGAGGAGAGAGCACACACAAAAAAGAGAGAGGAAGAGAAGAAAGAGAGGAGAAAGGAGACTGAAGAGAGAGGAAGAGAAGAAAGAGAGGAGAAAGGAGACTGAAGAGAGAGACGAGAGGAGAGAGGATGAAGAAAGAGAGAGACGAGGAGAGAGGATGAAGAAAGACGAGAGGAAAGAGGATGAAGATAAAGAGAGAAGAGAGGAAAGAGGATAAAGAAGAGAGGGGAAAGAGGACAGGGAAGACAGAAGAGAAGAGAAAGGAGCAATGATAAAGTAGAGATGAGAAGACTGAAGGGAAGAAAAAAAAAAAGACTGAAGAGAAAGGAGAGAGAAAACAAAAGAGATGAAACAAAAGAGGAGAGAGAAAGAGGAAAGAGAAGAGTAGAAAAAAGAAAAGGAAGAAAGGAAGAAAGGGAGAAAGAGGGAATGAAAGGAGGAGGAGATACACAAGTCATGAGTGAGAAAACAGAAAAGAATATATAATTATCATGAGACAAGAAAGATGTATTAGTTTGCTAAAATCAACATGACATTTTCTACCTGTCAAATTTACAGCATGCATGACATCAACAAATTTTCAATCCTTTGTCATATTTATATATGCAACAAGTTGCAAAATGCTAACATAAGAAAGAAAAAAATACTGACAGCAGTTTTAATGAATTAAGCAGTTTTAACGAATTTAATGTATACTAACCCATAGAAATATCTACTTATAGTAGGTGCTCTCTACCTTTATCCACTTCTGGTTTCAAGTCTAAATAGGTTAAACAGGAAAAACCATAAGGGGTCATCCATTTTTTTCAGCATTTTCATGAGCATACAAACCACACGCTGGGTGGAAGGGGTTGATCATTGATGTACACTTGTTTAGAATATAAAAATGACGATCTTTATCAAATTGTTTATCCTGCAGTGGAGGTTTGCATTTTTATCGTTTTACTCTGTACACTCTGGAGGGGGTGAGGGTATAGTATACTATAGAAGGAGAAGAGACTATACACGTGGCTTGGGACACGGACCATGTGGCATGCTAAGCATACTGCATAGCATGCCACGTGGTCCGTATCCATACCGCGTGGTCCAGTATGCTTAGCATGCCACGTGGTCCGTATCCATACTGCGTAGTCTGTGTCCCAAGCCATATGTATAGTCTCCTTCTATAGTATACTATATCTATAGTATACTAAAGAGGGGGTCTTCATAAAAAATACTTTTTGTACACTTGTGAAATTGATGAAAAAAATTGGATGACTTCTGACATCAGTTGTGTATGCTGGTTACCTCTGAATTTCCCTCTACCCTACACATTAAAAGTTAATAAGAAGACACATTCTTTTAAAAATGTGGGATGCAAGTGGTTTCATTAACTATGTTGAAAAATCTTTAAAAATGTATAATTTCTTTCCACTGCATTTAGTAAAAGTAAAAGCAAAGGAAAAAAAACCCTCAATAATGTTATGATAAGCTATGATCAACAAGCTATTGTTTGGTGAACTACAATCAGCACCTTTGGAATAACACTCTTAAGCCACATAACTTGACATACCTTTACACTGCATTGCTGAAATTATTGCTGTGATTTGCATCAACAAAAATAACACTGCATCAAACTTGCATGCATCATTGTAGTATGTTTATAGTCAATATAACTAGCAACTCCACACGCATACCGATTCAACATTCGAAGACAAAGTCAGCATCATCCTGGCAGGTATGCAGCTTCTCATATTTTTCAAAACACTACTGTCATAGCATACATTCCATTCATGATTTAAAATCCTTTTCTAGCTAAATTATAAGCAACAATCTATTAACAATATCCATCACAGGAAATTTTGTGGTAAGGTGAGGTGCACTTTATTTCCTTCACATCTATATAGACCTAGCGCAGCGGTAACATGCTGGTCTAGCAATCTTGTGGACCTGCGTTCAATCCCATGCCCAGCCAGTGAATGGTAACCCTGGCCAATCCTTGCACACAGGGGGAGATTTAAGAAAAAATAAAACAGACAGTATGTCACAGCAAAGAATATCCATTGTAACAAATGGAATTAAAACTAAATCTAAAATCTAATCTAAATCTATATCTTCATATATATACATAAACATATCTAACTATATGTTTACATGTACAAATAGATGCATAAAAACAAAACATTTGTCTAACATACCCATGAAGTTTTGTTTTTGCAGATAATACAAGTTCTGGAGTTTACAAATACATTACTGTTCTTCTGCTTGCTCTTACAATCAGCATAGAAATATACACATAAAATTGCCTTGAGGGTGGGGTGGGGGATGGGGTCATTGGGTCATGCACAGTTAAGCCTGCACTAAGTTGTGTATGTGTGTGTGTTATGGATCCTGGCTGCAATTATTGAGGGAAAACAGACCCTCAAAAGGAAGCTTAACCCCTTCGATCTGGATGCCGTGACCATCATGACATGAAAAATTTAGCTTGGGGGCTGGTGACCAACTTGCTGTTGTGAGCATCTCGGCTGAAGGCCAGGGTGCTGGAAAAGACTCGTCACGTGTGCATAAACCTTTTGAACTTTGATTAAGACTCATTTGGGATTTAGAAAGGGGCTTTTGCATTATTCACATTATGTCCACAAGCCATGACTGGAAGAGTGCTGGCTACAGTGATATCACATCCATGCTCAGCATCCTATTCCTGACTATCATGACCAGTGGAACAAGTTATATTACAGAAAATTGAACTTTACGAAAAAAAATTACAGAAATAGAATGTTACATACTTTTACTTTTCTTGCATTGAGTTATCTACTATCTAGAGGGATAAGGAGTGTGCAAGGAAAACAGTCTATCAACATCTGGATAAAGCAAATCAAATGACAAATATGGACATTGGATAAGGCCAAAAAGCAAAAAATGCTTATGCATATAAAGAGAAAATAATATCACAAAGGTGAGGCATAGAGTCTTGTCAACGCACATGAGTGTTTGTGCGTGTCCAGCTTGCAAGTTGTGCACCGGGCAGAGCTGCCACTCACGTAAGCCTAATGCCTGTATTCTGGCCATGTGATTTCCGTAAAGCAACTGGATAGAAAGGGTTAAAGCCTCTTTTTAGCCTTATTACCTAGAAAATCGAGCTATAGACAGAGTATAGAAAGTGGGGTATGTTTCCTATACTTCTGATTTTTCCCATGAGAGCAGCCGACTCCCCACACACCATTGTTTGGTTTTGCACTAGGGTTCCCTTTGTAATTAGGTTAAATCAGTAATACTAGTTTAATAGAATGAAGAAAAATTAAAAAGCCTTATAACTTACATAAACATAAAACACTCACCAATATTTGTTCATGGAAGCCATGCTGCCATCAAGCTTGCCCATATTATGAAGGTCAATACACTGATCGGTAAAAGCACGGGCAACACAGACGTCAGTCTTCAACTCAGCCAATTTATGCTGAATGGTCTGTCAAAATTAAATAAAGGTGTCAAATGTGCCATGCTGAGAATGCTATTATACACTAATAATACCAAGTATCAAAACCAAAGCTTGGGATAAAAAAATCAAATTAACAGTACTTCTACTTCCCAAAATGATTTCATAAGAAAAATTACTCAATCAAACTGAAGACTCACCTGGAGGTTTGAAAGGGTCTTTCCGAAGGCCTTTCTTGAGCGCAGGTAGGCACGGGTCTCTTCAACCTGCCACTCAGCATTGGCACAAGACATAATACCAATGAGAAGACGTTCCTGTAGGAAAAATGATGCTAGAGTTAAATAAAATCATGAGTTACAAAAAAGTTGAAATAAGAAGTAATCTAAAAATTGAAATAAATAAACTTAAACATCTGATTTCTTGTCATCTAATGTGTTACCCAAATTAATACCAGGAATCCTGTTATTCATCGTTATTCTTGAAGAAATATGGAGTAGCTAAGGTGTATGGATGAGAATCATCTCAAATTCCAGGTTTGATATGATGCTTCTAATCCCCCATATCAGCTGTGTTTACCACTTTTACTTGTTTTTTTCAAATTTCCATTTCCACAGTTTGCATCAAAACATCTCGGCACTTAACTCTGGGTGGGTTAGCATCCACCATTATCCATTAATGAGTCCAGGGGGTAAATCAACATTAACACCCAAAAGCACCTGAGAATGCTCTGTTGTGCCAAAATAAAGCTGTTTCAGTGGCTGAAAAGTTGCCTAATACTATTCATATAGACTGTTGTTATCAAGAGCAGCAAGCACAAAGTTTTGGTTTTGGTACCTGTATGCATATTCTGTAATTCACGTTTTTATTGAATACTTATTCAATTTCATATTGTAGCATTCTATTTTTGTTGCTCAAATGTTTGCAGACCTAAGATAAACTTTCAGAACCCTAACCATGGAAGAGCGAAATGTGATTAAACCCTTGGATCCAGGTGATATAACCATCATGCCGTGAAAAAAAAACTTTGGCTTCTTAAGGTCCAGTTGATGGGAAAATGCTGTCTTGAAAAATCTGACTGATGGCCAGGATGAAAAGATTATGCCATCATCAAAAATTGGCGACTCCCATGAGTGCACAAAGCGATGGGAGCTGATTAAACTGATTATTTAGGAAGGGGATCTTCCATAACTTCCATTGATAACTGAGCGTGGAATGTACCATCTATTTGCCAAGTTTGTAAATGCATGACCAAAAGCACATGGTAAGTTAGAGAAACTTTAACATTATCAAAATATTTAATAACTATACACATAAAATTACTTGTTATTGCAGAGAGATTTAGACTCCCAAGAGAAATGATATGGAGTCTATGCAAGAAAAAGTCTACTAACATCTGGATACAGCATATCAAATGGCGAATATATATAGACCTTTGAGAAAGAAAAAGGGAAAAATTGCATAGGTGAAGCAAAACACAATGAAACCACACACGAGTGCTCATGTGGACTGGGCCCAGAAACTACACATGCAGGAAAGTTATTACTCAAATAAGCCTAATGCCCAGATTTTGGACAACATACAGGTAGTGAGGCACTTGAATCCAACAGGTTAACAATGCATTCACAAATGTTGGTAATTGTTACCTAGTGTGATGCACCCTCCCGAGACTAAGTCCCAAAACCAGGGTATCATGTGAACGCAAACACCAAACCCAACCTTTCCTACCTTCTATTTATTTCCTAGACAGGGGGGTAAGCCCCCCTGTACCCCCCATTTATTAGCACTTCGTACCAACCTATAGAAAACGGACATTAAAAATTCTGTGTGAGGGTGTTGTGGATTTCAGCTGCAGCAGCCTCACATTTACTGCGAGATAATGAAAATATTCGCTGCATATCACTGCTCAGAGACTATGTTGTTTTTTACTTTATTCATTACGCTCTATAAGATAGCGGTGTCCATTTCTCTCTATCTCTGTAATTCACCCTCGGTAACTTGTACCCAAAGGTTAATGACAAAAGAGTGAAATACTGAATAACAGGGTAACATGTACCATGGATCCTATCATGGAAAATTCTTGAGGACTTGCAGCTACATATCCCCTTCACTATCCCCTCTACTATTCTATAAGCTTATTCTAGATTAACAAATGGAAGCTGAACAGCATTGTCAATGTATGCAGATGGCAAAAATAATCTGCAAATATGTGCACTAGTTTTACAAGGATATGCAACTATTCTTCAGTGGTTCATAGCTTGGCTCTCCTGATTAGTATTACTGAACCATGTCATTAACCCACTTATGACGGGTGTCACACACGAGACACCCGGAAAAGTAAACGTTACTGGGCGTCCCGCCGGTGCAACGCTAGATCGGAGCATGCACTCTGATTTGGTCGCCCGTGACGATTTTCAAGCTTAGAAATGTACCATTGCTAGTGGGTTAAGATGCTCTTCTTTTCCAGCAGAAAACTAATAAATAAATGTATCTATTTCAAATAATAACTTGTATTGAAGAGATTTCCATATAAAATATATTTAGTGGCATTCTATATCTTCTTCGATGTTAACTTGACTTTTGCTATCACTCGTATTTTTCATATTCTCTTACAAGCTTTAATAAGTATAAAGATTAATTTACCTAAACAACTAGTCCTAGAACAAGGAGGGGGAGGGAGAGAAAGAGAAAAAGAGAAAAAAACTTACCTGAGGAAGCTCGTTCATCAAGTAATAGAAGCCATGGTTCTCTTTTCCCAAGAGGGCAGAAGCTGGGAGACGTACATCATCAAAGAACAGTTCAGCTGTATCCTAAAATCAAGGGTACATCTTAGAATGACCTTATGATTATCCCTCTTATTAACCAACATCTTAAAAAAAAAGATACCTCTTCTTAAGTGATTACTACTTTTAAATATAATCAGACTGTTAGTGTGTGTAAAGTCCTTTTTAAATATTAAAGAAAATTCAGACAACTTTCTTACCTGGGCCTTCATGCCCATCTTCTCGAGTTTACGTCCCTTTCTGAAGCCTTCCATCCCTTCATCCACCAAAAACAGTGAAATACCGTGAGCCGCAGCCTTGGCATTTGGGTTGGTCACTGCTACAACAAGAACCACATCACTCATGTAGCCATTTGTGATGAAAGTCTTGGAGCCATTCAGAATCCAGTCATCACCATCCTTACGGGCATTTGTACGAACTCCCTGCAAGTCACTGAGGAGAGAGAAAATATGGGACACTGAATAAGTAGTATCTTTATTTTGAACTACGATGTAAACAAAAAATTCAATTAGAATCTTGCTATCATTTTATACTGTATTTATATGTATACATGTTTATTTCTTTCCTTCTGAACCTATTTATAACATGATTCTCTTTTGTATCTGCCACAGAAAAGTTTCTTGCACATAAATCAGCAAAGATCAAAGTCTAATGTTGACAAATGATTTCAGATCAAGTGGCATAGAGATTCGCAAATGAGTGAATAGCGACAGTGAACAAAGATATGGCTTGGGCAAATTTAAGATATTTTAAGACCTGTGACAAAAAAAGCCCTGTTTTTAAGATTATATTACAAAGGCAATCGTCTTTCTCCACATATTTTTCCTAAAACTGTACGATCTTATCACTTTAAACTTCAATTAACAATTCTACATACACTTCTGCATCATTGCTCAAAGATGTATCCAAATTTCAACAAAATATCCGAAATCCCAAAGCACAAAGTCCTCTCCTACCTTCCAGCACCCGGTTCAGTCATGGCAATGGCTCCGATCTTCTTCCCAGCCACCATGTCAGGGATGTATTTGTCGATCTGCTCTTGGGTACCATAGTGTGTAATGTATGGCATCACAATCTGGGAATGAAGAGCAAAACCTGGGCCGGAGCAGTTAACATACGATCTGAAATGAAAAAAATCATGAATTACTTATTAAACCACTTATCATCTATTAGTAAATTGAATAATATAACTAAAACCTACAGGTATCATTTCCATATTCTGAACTGCAAGTCTTTGTAAGAGCACTTACTGTTCCTCCATGATGATTGCTGCATCCTTGAAGTCACCTCCAATGCCACCAAACTGATCAGGAGTGTCAGTCCCGAGAAGACCCTGTTCACCAGCCTTCAGCCAACACTCACGAGAGATCTGGCCATCCTTTTCCCACCTGACAAAAGCGGGAAAGTTTTCAACAATGGCAAAGGTATATTCCAGTTGAAAGTTTACAACTATCCCAATGAAAGCTTTACTTCTTTGAACAAAGTTTGAATAACAAAGGCAATGAGTATCTAAGACAGGTAGCAAGAAGGATGATCCTTATCACTATCACTTATATTCTTCTCTTTACTTACTTGCCATTAAAATAATACTTGTTCTTTACAAGAGAACTGAAAAAAGGCTGTTCTATATGGAAAACTAATGACTTTATGAAAAACAAGCTCCCCCCAAAGTAAGAATAGATATAGAAACACCATGACATCTTTAACTTAAAAAATAAGTAATAATAATAATAATAATAATAATAATAATAATAATAATAATAATAAAAAAATATACAACATCAAACATTATTTAAATCTAAATTACAAAAAAATCAAGTTCACTCACTGAGCATGGTAAGGCAAAACTTCCTCATTGAAGAATTTTCGAACTGAAGTTCTGAATATGTCATGGTCTTCATTAAAGATGGATCTGGTGCCAATGTCCATCATGGTTGGAGCCTGGCAGGTTGTGGGTCTGTAGGACACCATCTCTTCCTGAGCGTCAGCCGAGGGCTCTCCATCACGCCTGATGAATGGTAAAAAGGAAGTTACAAACAAATTTGTATTTGATGATGATGAGAACATGTGCTCATCTGGTGAGTATCCTATGAGCCCCCCCCTGAACCTATGGGACTAATTTCACTTTAAAAAAATCAAGATAGTATGTGCTATCATCTCCTTTTTCAAGATACTTTTTTTTCATATTACTGACATTCAAACTTACACACACACACACACACACAGATTGACAGACAGACAGACAGAGGGAATAGATGCCTGGACATCGTTTCTATTGGAGTGTTGTGTGGAGCATTATTTTAGTAGATGTCGCAACTAGGTGTTTACATTTTAACATGAGGTCCAGTTTCCAATTCCCATTTGATTTCACTTTGGGACTTGGGGGAAAGCCGGATGTGCATGAATTTTATCTTTTGTATCTTGCAATCCAATTTTCCACAACCATGGTTTTCTGCATACTATAAAGGCAGTCTTACTATAATCCTGCAATTCTGATGACTTTTTCTACTTTAGTCTATACATGTGTGATATATGATACAAGGCAATGAATTATAAACTTTTGGACATTGTAAAATTAAGATACTGAAACACCAGAAAACACAATTTGCATCTGTTAACCTTTTTGCAGCTGGGGGATACAGACAAGCAGTGCTTTGGGGTTAAATATTATTTCAGTTCATATAAGCTATAGCAGCACGACCCACAACCTGCAGCTCCGCATACTTCCCAGGTCAGGTTATATCCGGTCCAACAGCTACATCCTTGCTCTCTCACCAGCAGGTGCATCTCGCCACTCAATGCTGGGACCTGACTGGTTGACACAGACCGCAGACTTCCCTTGCTCCCCATTTGCTCACACTGCACCCGACTACTTAAGCTTCGGGCTCCGTACAAGATGAGGAACGCTTGATTTTCCAAGGCACCTCAGCAAACAGCAGCAACACAAGGGCTGCACAGTCTTTTGCTGACAGAGAGCCTCTTTGGCTCCCCTGTTAAACTCCACTCTACCATTATCCAGCCATACTTGTGGGCCCTCACACCCACACAATCACTCCCAGAAGATATCAGACACCAGTCATGTAACAAATACATCCCATTATTACAAAGTAATAAACATTTGAGCATACAAGTTTGTTTATTTGGCTTGGTTTCTCATTTGACAAATGTCCAGGCTGGTTGGCAAACTTTAACTTGGCAAAATATACTGTGAAGATTTGATGGCCTTTACTGGGATCTCTGCTAGATTTTGATATACACTTTTAATATGCTTTATTTTCAATTTCTGCAGATTATGTTTTCTACCTACTTATTGATTCATGTATACTTTACAGCTGATACCTTATTTTTTGCAATCTTCATATGGTCTTATCTAAAAAATTGACAGTATTTTCATACCCTTAATCTTTATTATTTACCTATACTATTACAGCTAATGTTTACAGTATGGAGACACTAAAGCAGGGTAAATTGAAGTTGATATTTGTATAAAGGAGAGCGAGATGCAGTGGTCAGTACAACAAATAGTGATCTCGCATTGTGGACTTAGTCTCTGGTGAATGAGTCCGTCTTTTAAAGAATTACCCACTATGTTTCTACATCCTTATATAAAATTTA